ACTCGAAAAAAGTCCTATCCGCTAGATTATTGTAAAATTGTCTAAAGGAACATAATACAAGACATCTCTCATCTCGCGAGTCAAAAAATTTTATTAGCTAACTTTTTTATTTAGACAAATAAGTGAGGAAAACAGTTTTTTCAGTTTGCAGGGTAAACCATCAATTTTAGGGAAAAGTGACTCACGGACAGCTCGTAGGGGATAAAATTATCTACAAAATGAGACCCGTTAAATTAAAATCGGTTAATAAACAAAAAAGTAATTGCAATTTTCTTGTCTTTTTGCAATAACTTTTTTGTTTATTAACCGATTTTAATTTAACCAGTCTCATTTTGTAGATAATTTTACTCCCTATAAGCTGTCTGAGAGTCACTTTTCGCTAAAATTGATGGTTTTCCCTGCAAAGTGAAAAAACTGTTTTCCTCACTTATTTGTTTAAATAGAAAAGTTAGCTAATAAAAGTTATTGACTCACGAGATGAGAGAGGTCTTGTATTATGTTCCTTTAGACAATTTTACAATAATCTCGCGGATAGGACTTTTTTCGAGTAAAAATTTAATTTGCTTGGTCTATAAGTGATATTATAAATAAATAATCTGTGGCATTTATTGCAGGAAAGTGATAAGTTATATACGATAAATGTCGTGGAAGCCGACTGAATGCCAGTTATTCTGCGACTTGTTGGTTAGTGAGTAAGATAGAGGATTTAAAAGGTAATATTTTCATATACCGAATCCTCGGTAGTTATATATATGATTAATGGAATATCGGTTTAATTGACCATTGGACAGTTTATTTATCATTTGGCAAATTTGCAATAATTTAACGACGTAAAATATTTTATTTATATGAAAAATCGGTTAGCAAATTTCGTGCTACAAACGGACTTAATTACTTTTTTATTTCAGAATGAACATTTTGATGCTGGTACTTCAGATGTTGCTGCAGGTTGTAGCTTATCCAGAAGCACCGTGTGAATTAAAAGGACCAACCCATTACGACATTTTCAGTACAATTGTGAAGATCCAGATCTATTACTGTTATTTCTACGTAAGGGATGATATTAAGTGTGAAGATAAATACGCTCAGACCGTAGTAAATTTAACAATCGATAATTATTGTATTACGAAAAGGAACTCAAATCTACATCCTCACAGTGGAAGAATACTCGATGCAAGTTCTGTACAAGAAAAAGTAGCCGTGTGTAAATCAGTGGCACAAGCAAATTTACTGGAAGACAGAGTGGTACTTTCAGGAAATAGAAAGTGTCAATATTCGAAAGGATATTGCGATTATCAAAATGATTACGTGGTATGGTTTCCAAATGAATGTCAAGATAGACGCTACATATTCAACGGATTCTTTGATGTATATACAGTAAAAGACAAGAAGTACATTCGCCACGAAAGTGCTAGTTTACAAATAACGGAAAATGTTGATTTATGCAATCAGCAGATGTCGAAAACTAATCACGAAGGAGTTGTCGTTATTCCCAGCGATTATAAAAACTTAACACAACCCGATGTCTTCCTACCAAACTACAAAAGTACATTAGACAGTGTTTGTAAAGTAACCACGAAAAATGACTTCACTAAATCTTGGTATATTTACAACTACGAAATTAACATTACAGTTTATCACTGCCATTTCGATGAGAACAGTTCTTGTGTGATGCCAAATAACGACATTTTAAATAGATGCAAGACTTTTTGCAGTACCGCTGCCTGTGAGGATGTTAAAGTATGCGAAAAATCCCTAAAAGTCGATTTAAAGGAAGACATCGTCAAAGGACTGTCATCAGCCTGCAAATACAGTGATGGTGAGTGTCCAAAGTCCAAAGCTTTTTGGTACAACAGTGTAAGCTGTGGCGATATAAAAAAATCGAAGGGAAGTTACATAGGAAACTGCAACGGTACGAATTGCGTAATTAAAGATTCAAATTCCAAGAAACTAATCTTAACAGGAGAGGGAGAACTGTGCGGTGAAAATATCTGGTTCACCGATAAAGACGGAATTGTTGCTTCTGAAAAAGAACTACAGTTCGTGTCAACGACCGCAGCGGGTGTATCGAAAAAATTATATTCCGCTGCAGAGGACTTTGACGGTATCAGAATGGTCGTGATTGAACAACGTAGAAACATTAACGATCTCAAAGCGTTATTAAACTATTTGCTGTTCTTCTTGCTCGTGTGCGTTCTGTGGTACATACTTAGCGTAATCGTAAACTGTTCTTCCCTAAGAACTGTAGGCAAGACAAGGGCTTCCAAGAACAAAACCTATCTCATGAATTGTGTATCTCAAAGTTTAACGAATCGCTACGTGTTTTTGGGTTCGAAGGAGAGTGAAAAAAATGGACCAGTGGTCATGTCTAAACTGCAAGAATCAGAGTTGTACGAATCTATCGAGGATAGGTTATAAATGCAGAGATTCTTATTGGAGAATTTTATAAATGTCTAAAATGTTCAGTTGTCTACTAGAAACAAAGTTTATAGATTTATAATTGCTAATATAGTAACCATTAACAGTATTCATAGCTTTGCCATTAATCAAGCACCCTGTAGAAGTTTACTGTAAAAAGAGGGGGTTAGTCATTGTGTGACTATTTTTTATATTGAAGTAAACGTATTTAACTACAACATGTGTAAATTTCAGACTTTAATTATTAATAAATGAGGACCTAGCGATTTTTTGAAAATAAAAAATCATGAAAAAATGTCAGCTTTCAAATGGCAATAATTCCATTCCGATTAAATTTCAGCGATAAGAAAAAGATTGACATTATTCGATCCGAAAAAAGAAGTAAAAATTGTCGGTATATTTTTCGCATATTGCCTGTTATTTTGCAATACGCTAACAAATTTGCACAGGAAAGTACAAGTCTTAGAGAAAATTTTAAGCTTTATCCAACAAAATTTGCTAAAAACCCAATAAAATTTATCCGTTTTACTGAAATTTAAATGCGACGAAACCGATCATTTTTAATTGCGGTATATCTAGGTTAGACACTGATAACGCATCCGCAACAGAACATAAGTTAGGCTTAACATAGGCGAGCGGTTCACCCCTAAAAAAAGGCATGAACCGACTAAATTTTTAAAACAAAAACCTACAGCATGAAACTTTTTTATTATATAAAGTGTATTTTTCTGATAATTTACATATTTTTTTTTTATATTTTTCGGCGTGGTCAGTTAATTGTTATAAACAAAAAAGTTGTAAAAAAAAATTACTCTNATATATTTTATTGGCTCGTTATTTCCATCAGCTGCTCGATTTTGTTTAGTAAAATAAAAACAGTTTTATTCTCTCATGTCAAGTGAATTATTATGTGAAAAATAATGTAGACTATAGGATTTAGTAGATATTTAGATACCTATCTTTCTACTAACTTACCTTGCAACCTTTAAGGATATATTTTATTTATTTAAATCGTTTTTTTATTTTTTGATAAGTGGATATAATAGCTATTTATGATATAATTTTGGATATATATTTTTCCTTTCATACCACCACAGCAATGGATCTTCATGTCTAACAACAACAACAACAATTTTTTTAGATTCAAAAGGTTCAAGAAAACATAAAATATACCTATATAACGGCCTTATGCTTATCTATAATGTAATATACTATTATATTTGATTTGTGTCAATTGTGTCAAATAAAATATTACTATTACTAAAGAACTGCTCTTTTTTGCGATGTATGCAAGTAACATCGAAAGGCAAACATCGATATTGGAATCGATGTTTCGAACTTTCTAACATCGATGACAATTGACAAACCATCGACAGAAAAACATCGATGCTTTCCAAACATCGGATATTATCGCCCAGCACTAATACCCCAGATTCTAATACAGTCCCACAACCAGAACCATTCAGTCAACGTCGGATCCAGAACGAAGCGACTGACCCGACGACCCGGGATCCGGATCATAGATTCGGCTCATTGAAGAGACCCGGATCCGGTGACCCGAATCCTAAAAATGACCCGTTTTGCCCTTCACTACTGATAACGCATCCGCAACAGAACATAAGTTAGGCTTAACATAGGCGAGCGGTCCACCCCTAAAAAAAAGGCATGAACCGACTAAATTTTTAAAACAAAAACCTACAGCATGAAACTATTTTATTATATAAAGTGTATTTTTCTGATAATTTACATATTTTTTTTTAAATATTTTTCGGCGTGGTCAGTCAATTTTTATAAACAAAAAAGTTGTAAAAAAAATTACTCACTGAATGGCTTTGAAAATTGTAAAATGGACCAAAATAAATACTCTTTGTTCTTTGACAAAAATTCGAAAAATGCTTGGTTTCCGAGATATTTACAATTTAATGTGAAAAAAGTGACGAAATCGATAAATTTTCGGAATTTTTTTTCTCAAAAACTACTGAACAAATTTGAATTCTAAAAAGAGCATAATAATCGAGATTTTCTACTTTAAGATATATTTTTTTTGGTATAGGTCAATCATTTTATTGAAGGTCTAAAGCGAGTAAAAAAAAGTCTTAAATAAAATTATGATAACGCTTCCAATTTAAATTAGATTATATTTACAATAAACTTTATGATTTTTTTAAATCGATATATGTTAACAGTACAAATGTTCAAAAGGTCATTTTGTTTGGTTTTGTAGCCGGAGTAAGGTTTTTGCAAGTAATTAGTAAAACTTAAATATTCGATTTTTGGTTTTATAAATGGCTAAAATTGACTTGAAGGTTATACCAAAACTAAACTAAATAAGCTTTTTAAATCGTAAAATTAACCTAATAATAATAATTGACCTAGCGGTTTCGAAAAATAAAAAAGTTATTGGATAATTTATTGTGTAGGATAATTATTTTATTTTTATTTTACAAAAATATTAAGAGGAATTTTATTATATGAATTTCTTTTTATTTAATTTTTAAATAATAAGTTTATTGTTATTTTCGACAAGTTCTTGAGTTGAAATAAACGTTTCATCATCAATTTCGGAGGAACATTCTGACATTCATCTGAGCACGCATAGACTGCACAGCATACCAGGTTCGATGACAAACAGTTACAATTTTTCGTAGAACATTTTCCACTACATGAACAAAAATATTTTTGAAGCATATCTAACGCAGTTTCTCCTTCGAAATAATTAAAATCCAAACAACCATTTTCGATTTTCCACAAATGTGTCAATAGATTTTAGAGTTACAATTTCACTATTTGTATACTGTTTTTTTTTTACTCGCTTTAGACCTTCAATAAAATAATTGACCTATACCAAAAGAATATATTTTAAAGTAGAAGATCTGCCGATTATTATGCTTTTTTAGAATTAAACTCTGTTCAGTAGTTTTTAAGAAAAAAATTCCGAAAGTTTCTCATTTCGTCACTTTTTTCACATTAAATTGTAAATATCTCGGGAACGAAGCATTTTTCGAATTTTTGTCAAAGAACAAATAGTGTTTATTTTGGTCCATTTTACAATATTAAAAAACTATTTTCAAAGCCATTCGGCGAGTAATTTTTTTTTACAACTTTTTTTGTTTATAAAAATTGACTAACCACACCGAAAAATATAAAAAAAAATATGTAAATTGTCAGAAAAATATACTTTATATAATAAAAAAGTTTCATGCTGTAGGTTTTTGTTTTAAAAAATTAGTCGGTTACCTTCATTTAGCGTCTTTTTAGGGGTGAACCGCTCGCCTATAAGGTGTGGCACTGACATTATAGAGGAAGTAGCCGGAAACCACAATTTGATATCTTTTGTTATTGTTTACATGCATTATATTATTAGATTTCCGCTATATACATACAGGGTGTCCCTGAAAAGGATGGACAACGCTTGACCACAGGTTCTTTGGATGAAAACAAGACTATTTAGCCTAACTTACCTATATACAAAAGTACACGCCTACTGAGATATAGCCTTCTAAATATAGAATAGATAACCTAGTTTTTTTCAAATAATTTGAAAACTGTTTTTCTTAGAAACTTCAAATTTGGTACACATATTTTTTTATATAAGGGCAATGTAAATATAGAGAATTGTGAGAACACATATACAGGATGTTCTCTTTCTAGTGCCTGTGCCCCACTGGTTATCCCGTAACTTTTTTGTATGTACGCCAATGACGACAGAATTTATATTTTCAAAAATAAGCACTATTTTAGAAGATTTTTTGCCTTTTACAAAATCTTGATATCGTTTATGGATTTCGAGTAAAATTGGCATTTTTTACACATTAAATAATATAAAATCAGTTTAAGATAAATAGAACATTCTAGTACGAGGTGCCATATAACAGAGAAACAAATTCATAACAATAATTAAAAGGTTCTGTGTCAAGCTAGCTGTGATTTAATTTTAGCTTACTTTGTTTTTTATTGCAATTTATACTTTTGCTGAACAAACTGATATGTTAGTAGTTTTGGGTTATTGTGAAGGAAATTGTTGTGCTACTGTTCGAACATATGCTGAAAGATTTCCTAATCGAAGAACTCCAAATCACAAAACATTTGCTAATGCGGAGAGACGCCTTCGGGAAACAGGACGTTTTTTACCTGTAACATTAAATCGTGGATAATGTACGGCCGGAATTATTCAGCTGGAGGAACAAATTTTGGAAAGGGTCGAAGAAATTCCTCAAGTAAATAAAAGGCGTTTAGCGGCAGAGGTTGGCTTTCAAAAAGTTCCTTTAATAGAGTATTAAAAGACCAGTTATTACAGGTTACAGGTATTACAGGGTACAGGTAGGTATTACAGGTTATTAAAGGTCTAACAGGTGGATAGGTAGAGGAAATAATGCCCCTTTAAAATGGCCACCTCGATCCCCGGACCTAAACCCATGTAATTATTTCATTTGGGGAGCGTTGAGGACCACAGTTTAAAATAACTTTTCAGTAAATACAGAAAACGAATATGGGAAAGAATACAACATGAAATTAATGTTATGAGAGGTAATGCACAATTATTGGATAATTTCTAATTTTCGAAGAACTAATGTTTGCGTTTAAGAACAAGAAAGTAACTTTGAGCATTTACTGTAATATTATTTTAATGTGATTACAAATATCAGTTTATTTAAAATGTTAATGTTGACTTTCTTACATTATTAGTTGATATTGTTTATTTAAAATATTAGTGTTGATTTTTATTTTATTGATTGATAATACTAATACCAAAAATGTGTAGTTATTTTTTTTAATGTGACGTTTTTTCATTATTATTCCCTGCTTTGAGGCTGCAGTTATAAATTATTTTTTATAAATCGGAATTTTTGCCTATATTTAATGTATAAAAAATGCGAATTTTACTCGAAATCCATAAACGATATCGAAATTTTGTAAGAGCAAAAAAATCTTCTAAAATAGTGCTTATTTTTAAAAATATAAATTCTGTCGTCATTGGCATACACACAAAAAAGTTACGGGATAGCCAGTGGCGCACAGGCACTAGAAATAGAACATCCTGTATATGTATTCTCTCCAAATTCTATATTTACCTTGCCCTTATATAAAAAAATAAGTGTACCAAATTTGAAGTTTCTAAGAAAAACAGTTTTCAAATTATTTGAAAAAAAAACTAGGTTATCTGTTCTATATTTAGAAGGCTATATCTCAGTAGGCGTGCACTTTTGTAACGAGCGTTCAAATAAAAACGTGGTCGAAGTTGGCTCTGACACATTGGACGTAGGGCGTAGCTTATAGCGACCAACTTAACCTCATTTCTCAACGAGCTGTATAGCAGCTGTCAGTTTCAATAACAAAGCGGCGATATAGCGCTTTGACAGTTCATTTGCTATACGCTACGCCCTACGTCCAAATTTTCAGAACCAACTTGACCACGTTTTTATTTGAACGCTCGTTATATAAATCAGTTAGGCTAAATAGTCTTGTTTTCATCCAAGGAACCTGTGGTCAATCGTTGTCCATCCTTTTCAGGGACACCCTGTATATTGAATTACGACACCCTTTACCACTCTACTTCGGATACAGGCCGATTCGCAAATTACAAATATATACAGGGTGTCCCTAAAAGGTCCGAACACGGCGATAACTTTTGAGGAGCGAGCCTTACCAGAGACCAGGTGTCTTCCGCCACCGAACGAAGAATACCCTTCCGGAACCATAGAAGCAAACCAACCGAAACGCGCACTTACCTTGGACGGCGTGCTGGTGCAGGATCGTGAGCGCCGGCCCTGGTAGGTCCCCGTTCCAAGTCCACGTCTCCCTGCCCCAATTCCTCAGCTCGTAATCAACGAAGGTGGCGTACAGGTTCTCGTGCTGCGTCAGTTCGGTCCAGTTGTCCTCCTCCGACACCCCCCGGTTCTCCCTCGTCGAGAGCCACATTTTCAACCGGATCCTGCCCTGGACGGAACTGCGCTGCGACCGGGCCTCCAGCTTGAACCAGCCCTCCAGCCCCGTGGACGGGATGTCCTGCAAATAAAAAGACATTTGTAAAACGCTTCGCCCTTTTGCGTCCCTGAAACGGGGCGAGAGGGTCGTTCGATTCGGGGTGTGACTCTCACATCCCGTTACGGAAGCGGAAGCTTACAAACGTATTAGCGGTTCCGCGTGCCTGAAATTTGAAACTGATGGTGTGAAAACTGTGAGCTCTATGATTCTGCGGCTTTAAATCTATAGATGTTTCGGAAGAACAATTACCAAATGACTAGAAATTAGATACTGAAAATAAATCAAGATTAATGTATACTCGACGCAAGATAAAGGTTTCCAACCTAAAAGGCATACTACTTTTAAAGGGGCGAGCCGGTGGACTATTAATAGGAATTTTGGGAGGCATCAATAATTAGGGGCGTGTCATATTTTTTTTTTTATCATCGTCTGGTAAGAATCTCAATTCAACCCACAAACCCATGCTCTAAGAGGCGAAAAGCAGGTGGATGCCCACCTTAACAGTTATGTTCCAACGTCAAATAAGTACTCGTAGATGAGTTGTTGAAGTAATTTCCATATAATGGTCTGACTGTAGAGCACGAAAGGTCATCGATGCAATTCACGAGGAAGTATTTTTAGCTTTATTTGTACTTCCGTGCCGAATTTAAATTAGTTGCTTTTCTGTCGAGTATAAATCGCTTGTAACCTCGCTCGTCTTTCGCGTCGTCGCGACGGTCGTACCTCTAAATTTTAATTCCTTCGGCTTTTTCTAAAAACGCCAAAGACAGACATTGTTTTAAACGTCCTTAAAGACAAATTCATTTCCGTAGAAGCTGAAATTTCTTAGTGTCGAAGGAATGAAAAATGTAGACGATTAAAAAATTCATCGCTAATGATTTTTTTTGAACTAAGTTCTAAAATAAAGCTTTTTTTATAATATATTTCACGTGAATATTCAATATTCGCAGCGCTAAAAATCCACGATAAAAGAGATGAATGGGAAATTAAAATTTAATGCAAACAATCCGAAACATCTCTGTACTTGACTTTATTTTTGGGTTAGGATGTCAATTTTACAAGGAAAATGAGATTAGCATAGAAAATCGATATTTTTCATGTTAGCCCACTATTTTTACGAAACTGGGGTGAGCCTTTTCAATAACATTCTAAGTAGGTATATGAGGACGCCAAGATGGTATTTTTAAAACTATATTTTCGTATTTTGGATGATTGCCTGAACAGCAATTTGCAATTTCTCTTTGAATCTGATTTGCGAAAAAGCAAGAACTATGAGAACCTAAACAATATTGTGCCCTATTTTACAAGCTTTTATTTAACTTGTATGTATGTTTGTTTGTTTGTATGTTTAGTTCAAATCTTACAACCCAAATTTAAACCACTTCCTCTAAACTTATTACGGCTTTCAAATTTTGCGTGCTTGTTCAGTTCTGATGACATTACACTAAAATGAGANCGTGAAATTAACAATACCCCGAGCATCTTAGAAAATGTCTTTAATTCTTTGAGGAACAGGTGTGAAAAGTGCTTGGAACAAGGAGGGGGACACTTTCAGCAGCTGCTTTAATTTATTGTTATAACAAGGAGGGGGACACTTTCCGCAGCTCCTTTAATTGTTTGTTATTGTTATCACGATTATTCTTTAAAATAAAGTTATATAGTCATTAACGTTATTGAAACTGACAGCTGCTATACAGCTCGTTGAGAAATGAGGTTAAGTTGGTCGCTATAAGCTACTCCCTACGTCCAATGTGTCAGAGCCAACTTCGACCACGTTTTTATTTGAACGCTCGTTATATGCATTATAAAAAGAGAATAGTATACAAGTTTTGAAATTATTTTGTCTTGCCACATTATTTTTCATGTCCCTGAGAAAATTAATATTTTGAAATAAGAATTTGTGTCATTCTGCAGAAAGTAGGTAGGTAGGTCAGGAAGGCAACAAAATAAAAACATATTGTAAACTACAGTTTTATTATAACTTATACAGTTTCGGAAGGAAAGGGAAATATTTTAAGGACGTGTTCTGGAAGTGAAGATAAGTAAATAAGTTCATGACATTATGGGTCCGGAAATGTTTCTCTTCTGAGATAGATGTCGAAAGAAATTTAAAATCCGTTTTTTTTTTAAATATCTTGAAAACGATTTCAGATATTACACTGCCACTGTACTATACACCAAAGCCCAGTGTAATATCTTAAATCGTTTTCGAAATATTTAGAAAAACAGGATTTTTTAAAATTTTACATCTATCAGAAAGGAAGCATTTCCGGGCGCATAATGTTATGAACTTATTTACTTATTTTGACACCATTTTATAAACAATGAAAAAACAAAACGAGTTATCACGGAAATATTATTTTTGGGGGTGAACATGAGGGTTAGTTTGCATCAGTTTTAGGCTGAAAGAAAAAAATATTAGTCGTTATTAATATGTATTTACCTTTTTGAGATTAACAATAGATATTGAGCATACAGTAATTTAAAGAAACACACGTTTGCTGACGCACCCGCATTGACAATAGCGAACGAAATAATCTCTCTTTGTCATAAGCATAGTTGTCCACAACTTCGGTACCATGAGTACGACAAAGCGAACGCGATTTTTTAACTTTGTCCTGCCAGTGTCGTAGGAACTAAATAAAATTCAAAATATAAAAAGGTAAATAAATTTGTATCTGTCTAAAAAAACAAACGTAAAAAAAATTCGAAGGCAACTTTTCATTATTTTAAATAATCAATCGAATAGTATAGAAAAAAAATTGTTTAAGTTTTGTTACATCATTAAAATTAACGATTAAAAATTTGAAATTGTTATAACTTTCTTATTAAAAATTATATCTATTTCTCTGAAAAGAACATTTTTTAGAGTAGATTGAAAAAAAATTACAAAATTCATTCATTTTTCTGCTTGTTATGATTTTTTAAATTTCTGAAATTTTCCCTTAACTCCCAGCCTCCCTAACTCTGTTAATTTTAATAGTACAAGAAAAAGTCAAGAGGCCATTTTTGTGTAGAATTGTATGCTTTACAACTTTTATAAGAAATGATGAGTAAAAACGGGACACGCCAAATATTACATTTATTAAATGGAACACGTGTATATTATTAAACATATGAATTTCTGAGAAAATTCTATATATGGCAATATAAACAGTTTAACATTTTAGTGCGTGGTTGCCAAGTTATGTAGAAAATTCTTCGAATTTTGGAAAAAACATAACCTCGAAGAAGTTGTATTAATTTTCAACTACTACCAATATATTTGACACAGTTATAGGCAAATGCTAGGCAAAGATTCCTATATTATCTAATATCGATATTTTATACAGGGCATTTTTTATAACGAAAAGAAATAATAATAAGAAAGTTCAAATTTGATTTTCTAAAAAATGGAACACCCTGTATTTTATTGTTCTATTTTATTCACATATCAACTTTTATTAAGTATGTTCTACACCTAAAGTTGTTAGTTTTTAAAATATAGCAACATTTCCGGAAAAACCTAATTTTTATTATTTTCGGTCGCTCGAAATGACTTAGAAAAAACTGTCACATTGTGTCGTAACTTGTCAGTTTATAATTTATCATTCCATTTTGAGTTAATTTTATTAGTTAATATTTATTTGTGGTACATATATTCTATAAAATAATAAAAATGAACTTTTTTCAGAAATGTTGCCATATCTTAAAAACTAACAATTTTAGATGTAGAACATGCTTAATAAAAGTTGAAGTGACCGATATGTGAATAAAATACAGGGTGTTCCATTCGAAAAATTTTAGAAAATCAAGTTTAAACTTTCTAAAAATGATCGTAATATAAAAAATGCCCTGTATAAAATATCGATATTAGCTAATATACGAGCCTTTGTCTAACATTTGCCTATAACTCTTTCTAATTATTTTGTTTCAAGTGTTAGTAACTGAAAGTTAATACAACTTCTTCGAGTTCATGTTGTTTTCTAAAATTCGAAGAGTTTTCTACATAACTTGGCAACCTCGCACTAAAATGCTAAACTATTTATATTGTCATATATAAAATTTTCCCGGAAATCCACATGTTTACAAATATACAGGGTGTTTCATTTAAAAAATGTAATATTTGGCGTGTCCCGTTTTTATTCATCACCCTGTATGTATCAAATTAATTTTGTAGTATAGGTCTCTTGATTCTGTATAACTTTTATATAAACTTTTTTTCTGTATTATGAATAACAAGGGAGTTATTTTACTTTCTTATATTAATGGACCACCCTGTATATAGTACAACTTTTATTTGAAATTTGAAATAACTCAATCCTGAAGAATTGGGTTATTTTTTTTTACTTTTCATGGATTTTAAAAGGAGGTGCATATTTCGAATAAAATATTGTTAAATACCTAATTTTAAAGATATTTTAAATTTTTTTATTTGAAAAGTTACTCACAATTTCACTTTTTTTCTTTAATATTAAATAATAAGAATTAAATGCACTTGTCGAATTTGCAAATTGCTGAGGGAATACTTGTATTTTGGGATACTTACAAATATCTTCGAAAGCGTTTTATTTTTTGAAAACAGTAAAAAGTCAAATTAAAATAGTCACACCCTCACGCCTACGAAAAATATAAAAATACATCATCTAAAGCAAATTGAGAATTGAGACGCAAAAAATATGCCCAGAATCTAAAATTGTTCTAGAAACTATATAAAATTCATTACAAAATTTAAATTCTTTCGCGAAGAAATATTCCTGCTTTAAGATTTACATTGAAGGCGTAGAATGAAGCCAGCAAATATAACTATTTCACAAAGTCACCTCATACCGGGCCGTCGAATAGTTAAAAATCCCTTGTACCTTGTAAAACACCGAAATTCTTTCAATTTTATATTAATATTTACAAGAAGGGCCTACAGGACAGGGTATCCAGATTAAACACTTCTAAAAATCTCTTAAAAACACAGAAAGAAGGCTGGAAACTGAGTGTTATTCTGTATCCCTCTTAAAAAAAGCGAGCTAGCACGTAAAGATGCGTCTAACATATCGTAAATATTTATGAAATGCGACACCGGGACTGAGAGGTGGCTGAACAGTATTGGTGGAATTAATTTAACAACCGTTCTCTCATTAGCGAGCCGCTTTTGTGGGGGGGTATCGTTATTAGATGAGGAGTAGAGAACGGCACAATGTATACTTTGGGAAACATGTCAAACGTAATGGTCTGTTATTGTTCTCCACTAACTACACTGGGGAAACACCGGCTTAATAATGACAGTACTATAATGGAGTTATTTGGAGTACATTAGAATTGCTGTGGGGTAATTGTTAAATCCGTGCTGTCAAATTGTCCGTCATTTTTTAGCCTCAATCAGAATCACTGAAAACAAAGTTCCTCTCGACAGTAAGATGACCTACCTGAAGCGGTATCGTAACGCATCCTAGGAAATCGTCTTGAGAACTCTGCCTGGCCGATTGGCAAACCTGCTTGAAGAACCTCCCGAGTCCTCGGACGCCCCGGACCTCGTTCAATTTGCTCACCGCCTCAAGAACGGAACTTTCGTCGTCGTGGTCCCATATGTCGAGATGCAGGGAGTCGCTGTTTATGTCGTCTATGTCGCTGGAAAGAAAATGTTTTAATTACTGTCCTGTCACGAGAAATCGAAAAGTATATATTTCTTACAACGTCTGTGACTATTCGTTATGTTTTCGAGATAAACATCGTTCATATGGAAGCCTAAATAAACCAAAAAATTCTGGCAACTTAAATAAATAATATAACTAATATATCACATGCGTGAAGCTAGAAGCTAGTTTGTAAAAAGCGAAATTTACACACATCTTTTTATTAAAGAGTAAAGTCTTGTTTATCTTTTTGTGAATGTTAGATTTTCTTCAAAGCAAAAGTGTATAGAGAATATGATAATTTCTGTTTACTTAAGTGCTCAGATATCACTGTAATGGAAAGCAGAAAATGTGAGGAAAGTTAATTCCTTTTTTAATGCCGTTCATAAATTTCCGTTCACAAAACGTGTACAAAATCCAATAAGCTCGGGCTGACTCTACAGACTTAATAGGTACAGTACCGACACAATTGCCGCGTTCCCATCAATCATCCCTGAATAATATTCAAATTTTATTTGGGTTTTAAAGTGAGTCGTGCTCGATTAATGATGTTAGGCATTACCGGAAGTTGGTTGTCCCTCTGGACATGGCCTTATTTGCTGGTAAGCCGACCTGCCAATACGTGAGCACGTTTTAGCTTTTATCAAACACTCGCTACTTGATATTTTCTCAAAACTGCCGACCCGATTCGTAGAAATATATCATTGCGAGAGAAAAAGGGAGAAAAAATAACGCGCACAATTTTTATATAAGTCACGCTGAAGGGGATTTGAAAACTTTTAATGAAAAATTAAACTTCTAAATTAGGAGTAAAATTTATGCCTCCGAAAATCCGTTCTTTTCGTTTCTTAACGATTACAAGAAGACATATTTGCTTGGCAAATAGTAACAATTTATTTCTGATATAAGTTTATGGGACATATTGTATAAACCATAGAATCTGTACCAGAGAAGTTACCTTCATTTAGTACAAAGACTGACCATCTGTATTTGTTATTCCTATGTTTAAAGACCAACGAAATTTTTCAATAACGTCAGGAGTCCCTCAGGGTTCAAACCTTAGACCTTCTATCTGTTACCGACATTTATCAATAGCCCAGTTACTGTAGCTGAAAATATAGTAATACCTCTGAATTTTTTATAACTGCATCGATTTTTTTCAAAATTTAGAATTAGACTCTTCTTACCCCCCCCACTTCAAACCTTATATATGCGCTAGGTGTGCTTTTTGTGCTTAAAGGGTGAAAAACCACCCCTTATTGGAAACAAATAGAAAATATACAAATTTAAGCATTTTATGTAATCAAATCTTTTTTATTTATGTAGTATGAGTAATTTCATGTACTATCTAACATGAAACTTAATGTATCCCAAACTTTCAACCCGGAAAAACCTTTAAAAACCACCCCTTTGGATGAAAATAATATAAATTTTTTTTTTTCAACTTGAAACGTTTTAATCATGCATTTTTATCAAATTAAAATTGATTTCTTGACTAAAAAATCTTTTTTATCGGTTGCAACTTTTCAACCCTTGAAAAATACCCCTTTCGAAAATAAAGTGAAAAAATATTATTGAAAGAGTAGAAACATTTTAAATGTGCATTGGTATTAAATAAACATTTATCCCCTTATTATAATATAGTATAGTACTGGTTTATTCGAATATTCACATACTAAGTAGCTACGTATATATACAAAAAAGATCTAAACGCTTCAATATTCTTGTTTGACCTAAATTTTCCTAAAATTATCACCTATGCACATGTTTATTTTTTTGACGATAACTTTCTTACTTTTTAAGATTTTTAATCGCACAAAGGCTCATTTTGCAGGGAATTGTAAGGGCTACGTGAACTGTTGAGTTTTTAAGCCCTTCATTTTTAAGTTTGAAGGGTTTAAACGGCTCGAAAAGGGTGGTTCTCTCATTCGTATGATAATTTAAAATGGCGATATCTCGATTAATATTAATTTTAGAGGAATTAAAAAAATAATGCAAAATCTTCAGCAAAAATAAAGCTAAATATTTTTACTCTTGTATTTTTTTCGTACACCCTTTAATTTTTAAGTTAGAGTAAAAATCGAATTTTTTCAAAAATTTGAAAAATTAACATTTTCAAAAATTAAGATTTTTTTCGAAATCATGCTTTGTAAGTGAGCCAAAGACCCAGAACATATTCTTAGAACATAAATGAAGAAATTTATAAATGGATTGCATTTAATTTTAATTCTGTCGTCAAAGGCACTAATTTCTTTATAAATATTTTTCTTAAAAAAAATTAGACTACCATGTGATTTCGATCATATTTCCGTTAATTTTGATTCTAAAGACTTTTAAAACAGCTCATTTTAAATGTTTTTCAAAGTACGTTAAAAACGGTGCAAATAGTTTTTTTCCTAATATTTATGGTTTTGGCATTATTTAACGTTAACTGGTTCCAATTTAGTTTTTACCTAACATATAATAATGTTTAAAAATCCTCGGTTTATATTGCAATTAGAGAAAAACAAAATAGTGCCATTAGATTTGTTTTTTATTGCCTTTCTTTCTGTTCATTACAACTTTTTCGTTAAATCCAATAGTTTCAGAGTTATTTGCAAATAACTGTCCGAAAACAAGCACTTTTTCAATAAAAAATCAACATTTTCAATGACGAGTTACTCGGAAAGTATTGGATTATCCAAAAAACTTTATATAACATTTATTACTTAAAATTGACTCCTCTATCGATTCCTGTGGTTATTTTGAGCGTAAAAATTTCCACCCCCCAAGAAGCGGTGGGAACCACCCCCAGGGCAAAAGCACACTTCGGCACTATATAAGTTTTGTTCCTTGGGGCATTCCCCACATTCAGTCAAAATTTCACGTCAACCGGTTCAGTTATAAAGAATTCGGAGGTAAAAACCCTGAGTAACTGGACTACAAGAGTTGATTGTAATAGCTATTAATTACTGATGATATGAAACGTTATTATTACGTTATATTATAGGTTGTGACAGTTTAATGTTACAAAAGTCATTAATCAATTTATAAAGCTGGTGTTTAAAAATATACTCCATATTCTCTTCTTTTGGAATATGTTAAATTGAACTAAGTTTGAGTGTCTGATGTTCTTTTTTTGTTTTGCAAACTACTAAAGTTCGAGAAGTAAGAGGCTTATAAATAACTTCCCCGTGGATGTTACAATTTATAATTGAATTTGCATATACTTAGCACGGTTGGATGATCAATACCCTAATTGAAAATAAACTTTAATTGCCTCAGGCAGTCGGTTTTCCTCGAATAACTACAATGCTGCCTTTAACGAAAGTTCATTTAGTATTTCCGCTTCGGGAAATAATTTGAAACGTTGTTGAAAAATGGCGCTAGACAAAAAATTCAGAAAAATCTCTCACTCCAGATTTATGGCAGTGTCAAGGATACATTTCCATTCAAATACTCGGCACCGACTGCCCCGACATTCCGTATAAATTCTATTTATCGTAATTGCATTTCGAAGCCGCTGTTTCCCAGGGGTATACATAAGGCCAGCACCGAGTTTGACCCGTGGAAATACTGGCTTAGTAAATTTTAATTATTTTCTAATGAAGAGGTATGATTAAAGCTACTTCCGCTAAATTGAGTCGGATACTGAAGGGTATCCGTACGCCCGATTAACTTTTCTGACGCACTGTTCAGGTAAATTATGAGGGACTGCGATTCGGTTGTATGTTTGATCCTTACCACTGCCATATTGATGGCCAATGGTCCGCTACAGGCTACAGGGCCATGAAATGTTGCCAGTATTGAAAAATAATGGTGATGGAGGCGGCTCGATTAATGTTTTTGGGTGGAGATACTTGTAAAATACCGAATGATAATACCAATATTTAGCTTTAAAGACACATTTGATGATATTTCCAATGTAATATTCCTGAGAATGGAAGAAAACCGTAAATATCTGAGAAAATCGAATACAATAGGTATATACCATACTAGCTATGTCGTACCCGTAATAGCATAATATTCCATAATAGAATAAATAAATAATAATTTATTGTCATGATCTAAGTCAAGCAGAAATTAGCAACGCCGTACGACGGAATCAATGTCCGTGGCATAACAGAAATGTCGTGTTTCGTAGAGAACGTAGTTTATATTCCTAATTCTGGTCTCCAGATAGATAAACAATTGAATAAATTAAAGTAAGGGGGAGAAATAGTCTAATGAAAACGCGGGGCGACTAATTTACGCAATAATTTGAGTTCTTCTTTTGTTAATGGAATATCAGTCACGACACCAAGTCACGCGATTGTAATTGATTCTACGTCTTTAGAGTTTCGTGCCGCTGGATATTCTCAAAAGAAATGGTAAAATGGTTTTTGGTAATAATTTAAACAGTGGGGGCTCTCAGGGACGAAGATAATTTAGAAAAAAATATATAGAATAGAATAGAATAGAAATTTATTTATACTAGGGACAAATACACATTTGTCTATAGACCGATCAAAATAACTCAGGGGAAAAAAAAGAAAATTGTTACCTGAACTTGTGGAAATGGTAAAGGGGCTTATGATAAACGAAAAAAAAATAAATGCGTGAGCAGGGCCGGCGGAGTATTGATTTGGGGGGTTGAAAAGTTATGAAAAATTGAATCATTAGGATTTCTGGAGAAAGTTGACATCAAACAAAAAAGTATCTAATACAAAAGTTGTAGTTCATGCAAAAATCTACAACTTTTGTAGCGGTCACTTTTTAACATAACCTCAAAATTTCCGAGAAAAATGCAAAAAAACAGCTTTTTTTCTGATTTTTCGTTTTTTATTTCTCATTTCCGCAAAAATTATTTAATTTTGACGAAACTTGGTGAAAGTATACCTTTCTCTACCTTAAGTAACCTCAAATTTTTTTAGATAAAAAAATTTTTTTTCTACCTGAAACACTTTTTTTAAAGAAAAATTCTACTTAAAAAAATTACCGTACAGAATTCTGCCGGTAATAATTTTTTTCGTTTTGACATATACTTATTGGTGAAATAAAAAAAATTGTAATCACAGCTCAAAAACATGCTCAAAATGCAAAAAAGTAAAAAATGACTTGCAACTATGAATTTTTCAGTTATTGTTCGCTCTATACAATGGCGTCAACATTTTTGCAATCCGACCTTTCGTCTTCGAGGGGCCATCATCGGGTTAATTTTTTTACATACGTCGCTGCTGTTTTTATGACAAAATCTAGTCATTTTTAATTTTGAATTAGAGGATATTACTATTGTAATCGCTTAAAAAGTTTTTAGCTTGTTTTAGCTATAATTTAAAATTTTTCCTGAGTACGGCTCTGAACGCTTTCAAAATATCTATTGGATGAAGTCATAACAGTATAAAAGTCAATACCGTACAAAATATCCAACAATTTTTTACCACTGTTAGCAATACTAATTAGAAATAATAAAATATTTCATAAATTCGTATTATTTTTTTATTAGGTACAACTTTTTAAATTATGGATTAAAAAAATTGTTGGATATTTTGTTCTGTATTGACTTTTATTCTCTCCACTCTCTCTCTCCTCCAATAGATACAGGTATTTTGAAAGCGTTCAGAGCCGTACTCAGGAAAAATTTTTAATGATAGCTAAAAACCTTTTTAAGCTTTTTACAATAGTAATATCATCTAATACAGAATTAAAAATGACTAGATTTTGTCATAAAAATAGCGGCGATATATTTAAAAAAAATTAATCTGATGATGGCCCGTCGAAGACGAAACGTGGGATTGCAAAAATGTTAACACCATTGGATAGAATGAAAAAAGTGGCATTGTAAATATGCAATTTATTTTAAAATTCGTTTTCAAATAAAGCCAAAGAAAAAAAAATTAAACGATTTTGCAAAATTTCGGATTTTCGAATTTCGCGTCAATAGTAGACTTTGCAGTTAATACTTTATATTGCCAAAATCTCAAATCATCCTGAGATAATTGATCATTTGTGCATTTGTAATTCTACAGTTTATAGCAATCACATACTTCTATCCTATACTGATCATTACCTATAGTTTCAATGGATGACCTTGTTTCCAAAAAGGGGGGGCGAGACGTACTCCGTGTGTTTTGCGCATGTTCCATAATTAGGCGCGGTTGCATTCAAATTGAAAAGATTGTCACGGCATGCTCTGTACTATAGCCGATTATATACATATAAGATATTAAAATAAATAACGTAAGTATCTGCATAACCTATTTAATATTTTGCAGGCTCAAATACAATAAAACAGAATACAAATTTATATGCTTTTAAAACTATATACATATGCATGTTCGTAATTTTGGACATTTTTTAAATGACTGGTTTATTTATTAAACAAGACTTAGTATTTCAAAAAATCGCCACTATTCGCTCAAGCCGGGCACAACTGACAATCTTTTTTTTATAAAAAAAGTTCATTATATAATTATTTATTATAATGGTTTCTGCAGTTTATTTGATAATATAAAAAAAACATGCTATAAAATATCTGTAAGAGACCAATCCGATAATAATGTCCACGATTAAGGTGGCCATATCCCTGGCCGAGAAATGGTGAAATTTCTGGCATATTTAGGTACTGAAATCTTGAAAAGTAAAACGTGTAGAACAAAAGTAAGCACAAAAATAAAATCCTTGATGTTTTATTTATTCATTGTTACCATTTAAATTTACCCAAATAAAATAATAACAAAAAAAAGCGTTTGTAAAACATGCGTTTTCTGTTTATCCTAACCCCACATTTTAAGAATTATTTTCACGTACTTATAAATAAAAGTAAACAATTTTATATGTAGGACTAAGGAAGTAAATGTAAGAATATTTACATGTGGAGTTATATATAAAAAAGGTAGTATTTTCGTAGATTTCAGTACCTAAAATCTTGATGGTTTGATTGTTTCTTGCACCTGTTTATTCGTTTTACTGCGGCGTCTTTGAAAATACTCAGGTGGCATGACATAACATTCCTATTATTTGATAAACTTTAGATTATTCAGTTATTAAATGTTTGAAATTATTTGTCTTTGCGGAAAACACTATTTAAAGGCCCTTAAGGAAGGCTCTTATCGAGTATAATTTTGAAACATTTTTACTAAATATCAACACAAGACAAATTAATAGAAGAATTAGTGCAGGTTTAAACAGATTATGAAATAAAACTCAAAAGATACATTTATTTATTTATTTATTAAAATATACACTATACCATAACAGTTTCACCAAAGCACTAGCGCAACACAAAACAAAATGAGAAATTGAGAATATTTTTTAGGTTAGCTCGGTTTGGCTTTTTACCGCTCGGCGCTCACCGTTCTTGGTTCCTTTCAACCAATCAAAACCCGTAAAGGAAACGCATGCGTATGAATACACTCGTACGTCGACCCACTTTTCGGCTTCAAGTCAATTGCAAAATGATCAGTATAGGATAGAAGTATGTGATAGCAATACTGTACAAAAATAAAGTTTTGGGTAAAACAATGAAATTTTTTATTTTTTTCCGTAGAATTGAATGGTGTAATCAGTTTTTGAATGTTTTTTAATTTAAACAAATTATCAAACTGAAAAATTCATTCAAGTAATTTTTTATTTTTTTGCATTTTTGAGCATGTTTTTGAAATGTTATTACAGATTTTTTTATTTCACCAAAAAGTATAGATATGCCAAAACGAAAAAAATATTACCGGCAGAACCCTGTACGATTATTTTTCTAAGTAGAATTTTTCTTTGAAAAAAAAGTGTTTCAGGCCGAAAAAAATTAATATCTCGGAAACTTCTTGATTTTTATATCTAAAAAAATTTGAGGTTATTTAAGACAGAGGAAGGTATATTTTCACCAAGTTTCGTCAAAATTAAATTATTTTTGCGGAAATGAGAAATAAAAAACGAAAAATCAGAAAAAAACCTGTTTTTTGCATTTTTCTCGGAAATTTTGAGGTTATGTTAAAAAATGACCTCTACAAAAATTATAGATTTTTGCATGATCTACAACTTTTGTATTGGACACTTTTTTGTTTGACATCAACTTTCGCCAGAAATCCCAATGATACAATTTTTCATAACTTTTCAACGCCCCAAATCAACCCTCCGCCGCCCCTGCTCACGCATTTATTTTTTTTAGGTTTATTATATTTACCATTTCCACTTACAAAAGTCCAGGTAACGATTTTTTTTTGTCCAAGTGTAATTTGGTTGGACTAATAGTGCAAGTCAAAAAGCAAACAATGTATACAAATCTAAAAATTAACTAACATCTAAAATTAGCGTTTAGTAATTAAACAATTAGTTGCAAAAAAAAAAAATTCATAAATCTTTCATTTGCAGATCATTTATATTTAAATTTCTGGGAAAACGTATAAAGTTGTTCGGGTGATGACCGAACAATTGACTGCCGGGATCAGGGAGCGAAGTAAATTTATATTTTCGACCGGAATGTTTACACGCCGGAGGCGAGCAGCGAGGACTCAATGTTTCAAGGAAATATTACACACGGAAAGGATAGGCCGAATATAAATGGGACTCATCAGCCTCGCGTTGTTCGCAGCTGTCGCAATTCGATATCCGCAAAATGCGACTTAAAAACACCCACGATCTATATTACCGCGGACGGCTCGGCAGGAATTACTACCATTTTTCCGTTTTATAGGCCGACCTGAAAAATAATTGGTCTAAAAAATAACGAGGGGAGGCATATATAAAGCGGGAAACTATACGGAATACGAATTCCCCCGGAATTAATCCCTGGCGAGATATTCGACAGCGCTGTTTTATTAAAAACGCCGGTAGGTTTTGTCCAACTTGTTTTTTATCTGTCGATATCGAGGCGGCGAGAATCGTTAAACTGTAACGTAAACAACTGTCAATTATCTTACAAAATTTTCATAATTCCCTTGCCCAGACCAGGACTTTTAATTTTTTTGTTGGCAACCGTTCCATTTACAAAAAAGAAATAGATCTACTCATCTACACCGACTGAAGAGCGTCTTAATACTTACAACCTGAACTTCTCGTTCCACTTGGGGTTGAGCGTGTGCGGCTTGACGGAGGTGGCGCGTATGAACTTGGCTGGCAGGGCGCCCCCCAGGCTGTCGCGTTGCTCCCTCACGCGCCCGTCCTTCCTCTTGAAGCTCAGCTTGAAGCTGTGGTGTTTCCTCAGCTTCTCGTGGTTGCCCTGTCCTTCGGGTAAGCAAGCGTCGGACAGGGTGCGGTTGGGGGTGAGCGGCTGAGGGGACGACGGCGCCGCCATGGGCTGGATGCCCAGCATGCAGTAGGGGTCGCTAAATCCTGCAAAGAGGAGGATCATTTCTATAAAGGGTGATATACCCGCATAAATCGCGACATCTAGTGGTAGCGTTGCTGATATTGTTATTTTTATAACGAGCGTTCAAACAAAAACGTGATCAAGTTGGTTCTGAAAATTTGGACGTAGGGCGTAGCGTATAGCAAATGAACTTAAACGTCATCTGTCAAAGCGCTATATCGCCGCTATCAATTTGAATATTTTCGTTTTAAAAAGCGTTTAAAATGGTGTTTTCTCAAGAACAAAAAGTGTTTATCATAGAGTCCTACTTTAGAAATGGACGCAAGATTGATGGAATATGGAAGTATTCTATTGAGGAATGTTTCATAGAATTTCAAAATCAATTTCCCTGCGTTGTTGAGTACAAAATTTTTCAAAGTGCAGTTCAGCGTTGTATTAATGTTTTTCGTGAAACGGGCAGTGTAACAAGAAAAGAAGGAAGCGTCCGGCCTAAAAAGCGGACTGAAGAATTAAAAGAAAATGTCCAACAAATAATGGAAAATGTGCCAAGAACTTCTGTACGTGTTTTATCACAAATGGTGGGAGTATCAGTCGGTACCTGCCACACAGTGTTAAAAAAAGTTTTGCGTTTGTTCTCCTATCGTTTAACTTGTCAGCAAGAACTTCATGAAGTTGATTTTCCGCGACGGGCTGTATTTTGTGAATGGTTTTTAAACAACTACGGTGAACTTCATAATATCACCTTTTTTTCTGATGAAGCCTGGTTTCATTTAAGTGGTTACGTAAACTCACAGAATATGAGAATGTGGTCTTCTGAAAAACCAGATAACTTTTTTGTCGAGGGCCCTCTACACGCTCAAAAAATTGGAGTTTGGTGTGCTCTCAATCGAAGGAGGATTTATGGACCTATTATTTCTAATGGTACTCTTACTGCGCAAAGGTATAGAGAAGAAATTATCGCTCCTTTTGTTAACCAGCTGGAAGAAAACGAAATTACAAACTTTTACTTTCAACAAGATGGGGCAAGGGCACATACGGCAGGCGAGACGATGAATATATTGCGGGAAGTTTTCCAAAATCGACTAATAAGTCTCAATGCTGAACATGAATTTCCACCGAGGTCATGTGATATTACGCCGTCTGATTTATTTTTGTGGCCTTACCTTAAAAACACTATTTTTGAACTGCCTATTTCTGATTTAAACCATCTGCAGGCTCGACTTATAGACAAGATTCGTGGAATTAACAATACCCCGAGCATCTTAGAAAATGTCTTTAATTCTTTGAGGAACAGGTGTGAAAAGTGCTTGGAATAAGGAGGGGGACACTTTCAGCAGCTGCTTTAATTTATTGTTATAACAAGGAGGGGGACACTTTACGCAGCTCCTTTAATTGTTTGTTATTGTTATCACGATTATTCTTTAAAATAAAGTTATATAGTCATTAACGTTATTGAAACTGACAGCTGCTATACAGCTCGTTGAGAAATGAGGTTAAGTTGGTCGCTATAAGCTACTCCCTACGTCCAAAGTGTCAGAGCCAACTTCGACCACGTTTTTATTTGAACGCTCGTTATTAGACATATATAGAAGATTCTATAGAAAATACTTCAATCGCAAATTGTTACCATCTTCAGCATTATAGTCCAGTCATTATAGACGACAGCCTGTTTCGGGAAAAAAATACTATTAGAAGTTTCTCTGCGGAATATTGTTCGGAAACGTGTTATAAACAAAATATCAAAAAATCAACTCGAGGCTAGTTGGGAAACTTTGTTTAAACAATGGTCACAGTTATGGAAAAGCGGTTTTTTGACTCGTGAAAAAAGACTATTATTCACAGCGAAAAAAAGTTTATACAAAAAAGGTAGGTATTAAATAAGCCTATAAAATAAGACAAGTCCCATTAAATTCCGATAATTTGTTTATGCACAAGAGTTCAAAAAATGGTCGAAAATGGCCGTTTTTTTAATTGCTAATAATTAATGCAATTTTCATGGCAGACACTTGCAATTCAGGATTTTTGAGGCTTTTTACACCCTTAATAAGTGGTAAAAATTTCAGCTCGAAAGCTTCATTAGTTTGGCGTTGGCAGAATTTGTTATCTAAGAAGATGCTATTTTCAATTCATTTTTCCCAAGCTCAAAGGCGTTGTATAGTTTCGATCATCAGTCATTTTTGTACCTAAATAGTTGTATTGACATATGCATTTACTGATAATTTAATTTTTCAAATTTAATTTGTTTAAAAATCGTTTTGAAAAAATGTTAATATTTATTAAATTGTTATGATAGGTAATTATTATAAAATGAAATAGTAACGTCTATAGTTTAGTTAGTACTATTTTTCTTCGAATTTAAAAAAAAATCGTTGTTCAAAGTTGATTAGAAGCTGAGATATATTTTTTTATTTAATCGCAGTGACCTTAATTATTAATATTAAGAGCCGTAATTTGGCGAGAGTATAGGTACATTAAGAGCTATATTTTCATGTCCTACATTAACATTAAGGTGAATTCAACTATTTAATTGCAAAAAAGAAGATAGCTGCGCGCCTGGTTGCGCGCAGGAAAATGATCGAGCGGCTTCAAATCGATGGAGCTGGAAAAATTAGCCATATCTCGGTTAATAATGAACCTATCGAGATGATTCTTTTTTTAATTTGTGGTAGCGCGAAAATTGAAGCATTGAAGCTATCGTATTAACATTATTTCAACCTGAGATTTAATTTTTTATTTAGCCTCGCTCTTCCCATCACGTTCGCTAGACCGAGTAATAGAACGCATCGCCGCTATCTTCTTTTTTTGCAATTAAATAGTTGAATTCACCTTAATGTTAATGTAGGACATGAAAATATAGCTCTTAATGTATACTCTCGCCAAATTTAGGCTCTTAATAATTAAGGACATTGCGATTAAATAAAAAAAAAAATTGCCTCAGCTTCTGATCAACTTAGAACAACGATTTTTTTTTAATTCGAAGAAAAATAGTACTAACTAAACTATAGACGTTACTATTTCATTTTATAATAATTACCTATCTTAACAATTTAATAAATATTAACATTTTTAAACAAATTAAATTTGAAAAATTAAATTCTCAGTAAATGCATGTCAATACAACTATTTAGGTACAAAAACAACTAATGATCGAAACTCTACAACGCCTTTGAGCTTGGGAAAAATCAATTGAAAGTAGCATCTTCTTAGATACCTAACAAATTCCGCAAACGCCAAACTAATGAAGCTTTCAGGCTGAAATTTTTACCACTTATTAAGGTTGCAAAAAGCCTAAAAAATCCTGAATTATAAGTGTCTGCGATGAAAATTGCATTAATTATAAGCAATTGAAAAAAACGGTCATTTTACCATTTTTGTATAAACTTTTTTTCGCTGTCTTTTTACGCGAGTCAAAAAACACTTTTCCATAACTTTGACCATTGTTTAAACAAAATTTCCCAATTAGCCTCGAGTTGATTTTTTGATATTTTGTTTATAACACGTTTCCGAACAATATTCTGCAGAGTATTTTTTTCCCGAAAAAAAGCTGTAACGACTGGCCTATTAAGGTTGTTCATTTGTAGGGGCCATGTATCCTAATTAATTGGTATGTAATTAGTGTTTTCCTAGCCTCCCAGTAAAGTTCCTAATAGTATAATTAAGTTTAATAGCTGCTGTTTCGTAAGGTAAGTCAAAGTTGTGACTGAATGCGGGCCTAACAGGGACACGGAAGATTTAGCTCTAATGTAAATAATCATTCTGGAATTAGATTTGACCCTCATAAGTTAAGCGGAGTAATTGACTTATGAGGGAGAAGAAATACCGAGGCAGAGCAAATAGAAATGTATCAAACTCAAGTTTATTAGGTATTTTTTATACTGGCGATCATAAAACGCATACTATTGTTGTCATAAACTTAAGGATTTAATTTGGAATAACCAACACGTTTCGGCGTTAAAAGGGCAAGTAGCGGTAAAATTTATTACACCTATGTAGAAAGTACCATTTTTTTTATTTTATAGTATTTGTTAAAGGAATATATTTGGTACGGCGCGGCGTCGACTTTGTGAGAGGCGTATGATACGGAATATGAATTCATATGAAAAAGTGTGAATAAAAATGACACTCTATTTTCATAAAACGGAAATGAGGGAATTTAAACCTGCTACGTTCTTAACACAATCTATTCCAAACCGTTTTCACGTCCTTCTCATTCTACCCCGAAAATTGAATCCTTAAATAGCCCAGAATATATTTATACTAATTCTACGTATAAAATTTCTTTCACAAATGTACACCACAAAAAGTATTTTATAAATTATACATTTTAGAATTATTTCTTTATAGTTAATGGGTTATTTTAATTTATCTGCAATTCAGTCTAAACAATTGAATAAACAGACACTTATAGCTTGCAGTGCAAAAACTGAGGGTAAAATTAAAAAAAAAAACATCGAGACTGATACAAATTTTAAAAGTTACAAGAGAAGGCTAAATCTTTACCCCCTTCTCCCAATATTTGATTAACTTGTAGGAGTACCACGCAAAATTATGCTATTTATTACAGCCTAAGTTCTGATTTTCTTCATCACCGGACAGAGTATATTGGAGGATGATGGTAGCCATCAGATAATGACCTTTGCGTCCCGAATAAAAATAAGCTATAAAAGTCCCAGGCTCCGTAGAAAAACCCTATTTAAGTTTGTCTGTCCGCCAATAGATCAAAACAGCCACTACAAACTCCACACCAGGGCATTCAAGTCGCGTCCTTGTCGGAAAAATCCTTCAACGCCTGCTTGATTGTCAGCGCGCAGAAAAATTATGGCTCTGGACGTGTTTCACGGTGTCATTGTTTTGAAGCAACTACAGTACTTGTACGAGTATAACCGAGTCATTTCGACTTCTCGCAACAAATTGGATCATTTTAATTGTCACAAAAACCGTCAGTAACAGAAAAATTAAGAGATAGGTACAGGGAATTGTAATATGGATAGAAAAACCAATTGTGTAAAATTAAACAGTTTTTAAAGTAACAGTAATAAATGGTAGGCATCATCCTATATTTTTTTTTTGATAGAACTGAAGTATCTCGAAGATCATTAGAGATAGATGTATGGAAGCTTGATGAAAGTTCCCTTAAAATTACGGGTAGAACACAAATATGCAAAAATTAATTTTCAAAAATGCAGAAATCTTTTTTCACAGGTGACACACAGACAAAACTAAAAGCGACGAAGAAACAACTTTAGACGCCATCAAATATGCTAATGAGGAAATAACAACGGCGTCTGTATTCGAGGAAAACTCGCTTTGGGGATCCTCCGAAAGTCCCGATATAAATTATTGACAGACACTCATAAATTCATTTGCGGGTAATATACGGGATATAAAGCTTTCCGTCACCGACTAAAAGCAAGACTAGCGCCGAAATGAAAATCATAAAACATATCCTAAACACGGGACTGTCATAAATCTTCCGCGCTTTGACAAACGGCGCACCGTTGAAGAATTTTTCCGTTTAGGGCCAGACGCGGATATACCCCCTACACGGGGTTGTATTGTTCTCTTCGCGAGCACGCAAATTCGGATGGTTTGTTTAGAGAGCGTGAGATTTTCGCGGTTTATTTTCACGCGAGACGTCTGGGTTATTATGTGGTAGAATTCTTTATCCGCTAATGCTGTGTCGGTTTTGAAATTCCTTCCTTTTTCTAGTCGCGTAATGAAATACGTTACAAATGGTTACAATTTATGAAACTACTCTCCCACGTAACATTCGGGGATACAAATAGATCTTTTTTTTATCGTATTTATTCCTTTTCTTCGATCATACTCTTATTTTGTTACCGAAATTTTGCGTGTCCGTAAAGTTACAGTAAAAAATGGCACAAGAAACTGAAGTTAGTTTTTAACGCAACTTCGGTTATAAATTTTTATTAACAAAGTTGAGTTTAAAACTCCCGGAAGAGGGTCAAACATCTCTCAAACAACATTAACTCTCGACAGAGTTCGCAACCACGTCTTGTGCTTCGTCTCCGTTAAAATTAAAACGTATTATTACAAGTTTTCAACTCGTTAACTGTAATTACGAGAGGTAGGATAACCGATGGGACAAAATATGCATGGTAATTACTTTGATATCTGTTGGAACAAAATGGAAACCAAGCACCAAGAGAAAAGTAACTCTTAAACGAAATAAAAGCTAGGCAGACTATCCAGTGTCCTTTATCGTTTTTATACCTGTAACTACGGCCCATATCCTCAATGAATATCAAATCGGCGAATTGTTTGTTCTACGTAACGGCGAATTTTAGAACCGATCGAGCTGGAAATGTTCGACAAAGCCCTACCAATTTCCAGTTAGGATAAAACTGTTGTTTTTGAGGGTGTGTCGATTTAAACCTGATACATACTTAAAATCTCGTTTAGAAGATGGTACAGAGTTGAGACTATTAATTACACATTACAATTTAACGTTTTTTTAAAATTTACATGTATATACAGGGTGATTCAAAATTCAGCACAAAGAATTTAGAGGCATATTTTTGAGGTCAAATTAAAACATTTTTTTTCCTATATAGATCGATAAAAATAACTCATTTAGAGGAAAAAAAAAGAAAATTGTTACCTGGACTTTTATAAGTGGAAATGGTAAAGGGGCTTATAATAAACGAAAAAAAAAATAAATGCGTGAGCAGGGGCGGCGGAGGGTTGATTTGGGGGGTTGAAAAGTTATGAAAAATTGTATCATTGGGATTTCTGGCGAAAGTTGACATCAAACAAAAAAGTATCCAATACAAAAGTTGTATATCATGCAAAAATCTACAACTTCTGTAGAAAACAGGTATTTTTCTGATTTTTTTAAGTAGAATTTTTCTTTGAAAAAAAAGTGTTTCAGGCCGAAAAAAATGAATATCAGAAACTTCTTGATTTTTTTTTCTAAAAAAATTTGAGGTTATTTAAGACAGAGGAAGGTATACTTTCACCAAGTTTCGTCAAAATGAAATTACATATTTTTGCGGAGATGAGAAATATCGAAAAACGAAAAATCAGAAAAAAAAACTGTTTTTCGCATTTTTCTCGGAAATTTTGAGGTCATGTTAAAAAGTGACCTCTACAAAAGTTGTAGATTTTTGCATGATATACAACTTTTATATTGGATACTTTTTTGTTTGACGTCAACTTTCACCAGAAATTCCAATTATACAATTTTTTATAACTTTTCAACCCCCCAAATCAACCCTACGCCGCCCATTTATTTTTTTTAGATTTTTTATAAGCCCTTTTACCATTTCCACTTATAAAAGTCCAGGTAACAATTTTTTCCAAGTGTAATTTGTTTGGACTAATAAACGTGGGTCTACAAATGCTTAGTTTTCGATGTACCTATAGGGTGTTAAAGTTTTTTAAGTTTAAAAAACTTGTCTTGTACTTTCTGGACCTTTTTGACCTCAAACATACGCCCCTAAATTCTTTGTACTGAATTTCGAATCATAACTTAAAAAATAGCCTCTTTGGTAGCAGTCAGTGTATTGCGTTAAAAAATGTATATTTAACTGTTACGGTACGTGATTTTAAATCCTGATATTTGCTCCAGACGGATTTAATTCAGGGTAGGATTTAGAATTAAAGTATAACCATACAACTCGTCTGGCCCTTGTCTCTAGAGAGAGGTTTATTTATGCTTACGATGATTTCCTTGTTCGAGGAGGATGTAAGCGAGAGATAAGGAAATATTACGTCGCGAGATGAATTCGGGGCTTGTTAACATACACTTGTTATATACTTAAGGGTTGTACCGTGCGAACTGTTATGAATTTTTATTATCATGAAGGTTCCGTTGGAACATCAAGATGATGAGGACTACGTACTAAACTGTACTTAAAGGAAAATTTTTATCAAATATAAAATGTTATGAGGTGGGGAACTGAATTATAATTCTATTAACTTTAATCGCAGTAAAGGTAACTCACCGTTGGCGTCTTTGGCCTCGAGTCCCTCCGCTTCGATAACGACCACGCTGAGCACCACTATGGGCGGCTGTTCTTCACCCGCCACGTGCAGCATCCTGTAGTGCCTGTCGGGGGGCATACCGAAAGCCCTCTGACCGTACAGGTAGAGGTCTTCCTTGTAGTGCGCGTACTGACCACCAGGCGCTGGCGCACCCACCTGAAATCGCGAGGAGATCGTTTATTGTCAAAGTACACAATTTACACACAAAGTTAAAATTACCAACAAAAACACATGCATTAAAAACCTTTAAGAGTATCAATTAAAACCACGTTTCTTCTGAGAGATTGTGTTCTATTTGCTTCACAAGTTGGTAAAATCATTAATGAATATTAAAAAAAAGTATAGCACCTAAAATAGACCCTTTAGGCGCACCACGTTTAATATTTTTTAATTCAGACAGATAAATTGATGCTGACAATGATATTTTGTAGTTTCGATTATCAAAATAAGCTTCACTAACATTATTTTCAAAACACTTGGATAATTACGTTCATTGATGGCGAGAGAGTCCAGTTACCAATTTATTATTTTACGGAACCTTTTAAAAATCGTTAGGAGAGTTATTCTCTTGGTTGATTCTTTCCTGTAAGGGGGGGAATGTTTTTAATGCAAGGGGTGGAATCAAATCATCATGAAATTAAAGAAACAATGATAGACCTAGAAGTATTACTACTACTTTGTCTCCATTATTCCTCGGTTTCCCTTAGTCTGAGTCCCTTTCGATTCGACGAATATTTCAAATAAAAGGAATAAGGAATTATTACTTATCGAATACTAAAGTTTCCCCAATTCATCAACTGAGGTCTCAAGGGGGAACCGAACTTTTTCAGCGCTTAATGTTCTTTTTGGAGAACGTGAAATAAAAGTCAATATTTATCCTGGAACTCCCGAGACATATTAATATAAACTGAAATTGCCACAGACCCGCCAACTTTTTTAGCGTATCTGCACGTCGTCGCCGCCATTTCTAGAGAGATCAAAGGCGAAACTTACGAGCCGGAAGATTTAAATGAAACAGCGTTTAAAGACCGTCCCCAAAACACGAACGTATCACGCATTTTATCAAACGGGACGAAAATTGTACAACTAAAAGCTTGTTTTTGTAATTTTCCGACGTCTTGTACAATAATTGGGGAAAATTTTAAACGCTTCAGGTAGAAGTACCTCTTCAAATCGGAAACAAAGGATCAAGGGTCACTTTACTGCTATTAGAAGCGAAGCACGGAAATATTTTTTAACAGAACACATACTTATACGATCGTATTAATTCAAAATAAACATACTTTGCCACAAAATGAACAGTTCTTATCAAAACTAAGCTCAAGGCACTACGACTACGATAATTAGACGTAGAAGACGAGATTGTGGATTACTCTCCTCTGTACTTAATCATAAAGTTAGAAGCACAAAGCTTCCTCCTCAACTTTGTCGAAATCAGATAGCAGCTTTGGCAACAAATACTAAAGCCACTGCATTTGCAATCGCTGTTGCGGATGTATTTAGTGGTCATCGGCCTCGACAGAAAGGGGTTGTATGTTCATCGCCACATTTCGACGTTTTACGAGTTAAACAAAAGCCGAATCACGCGGTTATATTTAGAAAGCAATTTACGGCATTGTGAGGGAACCCAGAGGGAATCGATAGGAAATGAATTTGTTCCGAAATAAAAACGATTTGATTATTACCCATTTGGTTGAATATTTCGTTATTACAATTTTTCATAAATCGAGTTAAATTTCTTCTAAAAAATTACGCCTGCCTCAGCACGATCGAACCATTGCTGGCGCTTGGCAAAACTTTAGTGATGTTTCCTTTAAAGAGTTTTCCTCCTTTTATGAACACAGCTCAGTGGTGGCGACTCCGGCGGAATGCTACATCGGGCAAGCCTCGAGAGATAAACTTTTGATAGAAAAAGTTGGACTCATCCCGGAGTTTATTTTCATAAGAAGTTAAGGTAGTCTGTGGCGAGACATTACTTCTGAACGCAATCGATTCGATAAGCTTACCAGCAGGTATCTTCCTCGGTTATTGAGTGATTCGAATTTCGAGTTTCCCGAGTTTGTTGCGAAGAGTTTCCATCAATTTAGTCGAATTATATGTCTATTTTTCCAAACACAAATAATATTTACTTCTAAGAAACGTACTTATTTCCTAAAAATTAAATATTGCCACACTAAGTAATGCCTAACCGTGAATAGTCAACGAAACATGTAAAGTAGGAGAGCATCAGCCATTACTGTGCGCGTGTAGTGTGGGGTGGACTAAAATTACGCTCCTAGTAAGCATTTTGCTTAAAACAACATTTCTTTCTGTTCAGTTCGACACAACTTTAAAGAAATAGACTGTATACATGTTTATTTCATTTTTTTTTAGTCGCGTGTAGTCGTTTTAGTTAGAGTCGAGAAATTTGAGAACCACTGCCCTAAGAGTATTTACGTGAATACGGGATACTATTTATATTTATAACACTGTGCATAATTAGTGCATTTTTTCCTGCTGATATTATTGATTGATCTCTTCATTAAATGTGGGTCGGTGGATACTAAATTGTATTTAGTCATTGGTCAAATTGTGGAATAATTAATAGTCCGTATTGACTGTGTGCTGATATCATTTCATGGAGACCATTAAATTTAATTGCAATTCGCATAGAGTTATTGGTTTCAGTAATCAATTCGCAGAACTAATATTATCAAAGCTGCCTGCAGAACAGGAATTTTTACTGTAATAATAACTGATAACTTTTCAGGGTTAAATTCTATTAGAAAAGTTTCTTGATATCCTACCACTTTTCGGCACACCCTGTACCTATGTAGGTATATTTCCCGACCTTCTATTATTATTAACGGAAAATAAATTTATCCATTTGCAAACTTTGCATTTATATTTTCATATTCACAGATTTGACTAATATATTGGGAGACTGGAAAAGGTAAAAAAATATTCCAGGATAGCGAATAGATATCGATTCCAACAACTCGTAATAACTTTTTAAACTTTCGACTTTGACCGTGAAAAACTTATTTCGAGATAATTTGCAAACGACTATATTTTTCGTGGATGCTGAAAAGTATTAAAAACTCATACAACTTTGGAATCTAGAGCTGGCGTAAATTTGACGTATAAAAATAAGAAGTAGGAGGTGTTTTTTTACAATTATTTTTGTTTAATCAAAGTGATTTGCATCATAGAACGGTAAACTTATGTAAAAAATTGTTATTAACGTATTTTAAGAACATGTCTTTGTCAATTATTGTTTCTACGTCCGTGAGTTAATATTTTGTAAGAAGAATTAACGAAATAAAAGCAAAATTCTGGATTAGAGCACAAAGTGTATAAAATATACAAAAAAAGTAAGTCTCTCATCTCGTGAGTCAAAAACTTTTATTAGCTTTTCTATTTAAACAAATAAGTGAGGAAAACAGTTTTTTCACTTTGCAGGGAAAACCATCAATTTTAGCGAAAAGTGACTCACAGACAGCTTGTAGGGAGTAAAATTATCTACAAAATGAGACTTGTTAAATTAAAATCGGTTAATAAACAAAAAAGTTAATGCAAAAAAACAAGAAAAGTGCCCATTTTTAAATTTGTTTATAACTATCGCATGTATTGTTAAAATTTTTTAAAACCTATGACAATTTGAGGGTTTTGCCATACTTCAAAAGTGTGCCAAAAGTGGGCGCTGTAGGTGCAATAGTTTTCGCACAATTCTTTTGACGATGTTATTTTAATGTTTGTTATATTATTGTATTATTGTATTTTTTCCTATGTGATTTTGTACTTTTATTTTAATGTTAGCATTAGTTTGTCATATTTGCACTGTTTTTTTTTTAACTTGACTTGTTCAACGCTCATTTTTGAGCATGATGTATATTGCATCTGAACTAAATAAATCTATCTATCTATCTATCTATCTATCTATCTATCTATCTATCTATCTATCTATCTATTTGTTTATAACGGACGCTCCAAAAGTTATGAATTTTAAGCCTCTGTACAGGCAGTAAAATAATTCCGAAATTGAAATTTTAATTAATATTTTATTTAACAATAATTTTTGTAAATTAAAAAAAATATAAGTATAAAAGATGCATTTTTTTTGGGGTTCAGGGTTATTCTACGAATTCGTAATTGTTATTTTTTCGTCGAGCTACCCCAGTTAAAAAAAAATAAGTTTCTACGATGAATAGAAGCCGAGATATTGCAAAATTTACAGCGCGCATCAATTTGAACTGCGAAAAATTCAAGTCTTAATATTTATAAATAATTGACCTACGATTAAAAAAAAATTTTCTTGGCTCCTCTTGGTCGTAGAGGGTACTTTTTTTAATTTAAAACTATTTTTTGCCAGCTATCCATTACATCTATTTTCGGTGAGATAGCATAAATAGCAACAATGTTATACAAATTGTTTATAAGCGAAAAACGCACGGTTTTTTAAAGCACAATTTGAGAATGTTAATGTCAAAAAAACGGTGATATATTTTAATAGGTCGCTTAATTACGTCTTTAAGATTACAATGACGCTTTCAGAATCATGTTTGGTTGAAAATTAACGACTGTACAGAGGCTTAAAGTTCATACCTTTGGAGCCCCCGTTATAAACAAATAGAATTGTGCGAAAACTATTGCACCTACAGCGCCCACTTTTTGCACACTTTTGAAGTATGACAAAACCCTCAACTTGTCTTAGGTTTTATAAAATTTTAACAATAAATGCGATAGTTATAAACAAATTAAAAAATGGGCACTTTTCTTGTCTTTTTGCAATAACTTTTTTGTTTATTAACCGATTTTAATTTAACAAGTCTCATTTTGTAGATAATTTTATTCCCTACAAGCTGTCTGTGAGTCACTTTTCGCTAAAATTGATAAGTTTTCCCTGCAAAGTGAAAAAACTGTTTTCCTCACTTATTTGTTTAAATAGAAAAGCTAATAAAAGTTTTTGACTCACGAGATGGGAGATGTCTTATTATTATGTTCCTTTAGACAATTTTACAATAATCTCGCGGATAGGACTTTTTTCGAGTAAAAATTTAATTTGCTTAGTCTGTACCTACTTATCTGTATTTTATATTTCACGATTTTCTGGCAGAATTTAACAAGCAATCTAGCGCGCCTCGAATCAGCAGATATTTGGCAACACTGTGAGAAATTATTTACTTCGTGACCAGCAACTGGTGCAGAAATATTTGTCTTGAAATGTGGACGATAGAAAATTACATTCGAAATAATATATTAATTAAAAAAAAACCATACCTCAACAGGGATCGAACCCCGAACCTTCAGATTAGTAGGACAACGCTTAACGCTTTAAGCCACGAAACCACACTTATTTAGTTTCAATAACCTGGCTTATATACTTAACGTTGTGCCTCTTGTAATATAAACAATAATTATAATGAATATATTGGCAGACGGCAGGATACCAGTAATAATATTATTGGCATATTTTGAAGAATTATTATCAAAAACAATAAAAAATAAATTGTATATTTAAAAAATACCTATTTATCTGTCAGTTTAGAGAAAGTATAGTGCTATAAAGTATTTTCCATGGTAATGATTTATACATTCGTGAAAAAACTGTTTTCCTCACTTATTTGTTTAAATAGAAAAGTTAACTAATAAAATTTTTTGATTCGCGAGATGAGAGATGTCATTGTATTATGTTCCTTTAGACGACAATTTTACAATAATCTCGCGGATAGGACTTTTTTCGAGTAAAAATCTTATTTGCTTGGTCTAATAATAGGTAACCGATAATCCCGTTTCAATGCCATATTAATGTTTCAGGAACATTTTCATTAATTGCTGAAATCAGCTCAGCTACGTCAAATTTGTAATTGATTGCAGATAAAAAAACATTTACGGCAAACCAACAAGCATGTCAAGATATATTCAGGGAGAAATTAATTTATAATGTAGGATGTAGGTAATATCAGATTATTAGATTAAAAATTTCAGTTTTCAAATTACATGAAAAAATATTGCTTCTTATACTACGACTTATACCTACTCGTATTAATAAATGAATGTTCTATGGTAATTTTTTTCAGTCACGCGTTGGACTGTAACGAAAAATTATCCCATTTACGACCCGGTCAAGTGCAAATTGCGTCCGTAGGGAGGTAATATCACTCACCGTGTTGGCGATGGTGTAGAGCATCTCGACGTAGAGCTTATCCTTCTCATTTTGGGAGGCCGAGTAGTCGATAGGTGTAATACCCAATTCCAGTTCTGGGGGCGGCGCGTCAGAGGCACAGGCTTCCGCCGCTTTAAGAACACTTTGTCTTTGATTTTCTTGTTTCCAGGCCAGCGCCGTGAAGCTCTCGAAGTAGGAGCCGTCGATTTCTTGAACTCTGCAAAACGCGTGTTCATTTTAGTGAAGTTAACTGGAATCTTATGAGGGTATTTTTTCGAGTCCAGTAAAAGAATGAGTAGGTACCTAGAAGAAATTTTAGTAATTATTTATTACGGCGTAAAACTCAAATATACCTAAGTACCTACTTATAATTTTATCTACTTCCCTAGTGTAGAGTGCCCATTTTTCGATATTTATAAAATTACAGTACACAAGCACCCAGACAAGTATAAGAATATTATATTTTATCATTTAATACGAAAAAAAAAACAAAGAAAGCTTGGCATATCAGCATATCATAATTATTATTATCATAATAGATACAAATTAAAAAATAATGGTTATTAAATAAATTACACAAATACCTACGTAATTACAAAAATATGTGTTTTTATAATTCCTTTGATTAAATGTTTCATGTTATTAGGTGTCTTAAATTGCCGAACCATTAATTTTAAACGAGTTGATTAAATACAACAATCAAACTGTCTGTGATCTGTGACAACAATGAAAATGAAACAATTATTGGATCCCTCTAGCGGAGAATAACAGAAGTACGGCGTACAACTACAATCACACAGTGTTGTCAAATGCAGTAGAGTAGTCAAAATGACGCCACGTTTCTACCTGTTACCTCATTTTCAATTCAATTCATTTTTAACTTAACCAGACATAAATAAACTTGTCTAATTATTTAGTCTAATTAAAGTCACCAGCATTAATCATTACCAGTGTTAAGTGAAGTGCATCAAACTCGGTTTTATACGCCTATCTATACCACCAACTGAAACGTGGCATCGTGTTCACCGGACTTCCACCCGAGCTTCGGTTCCCGACCGCGTCACGAAAACATTCCGAATAGCGAATCCAACAAGTGCGCATTGTTTGTTTACGCGTTGTTTTAAATTTATATAAAAATTGTGCAATAAAGTGGTAAAAGTTAACAAGATCACTTGCTGTTTCTATTCCCGTAACTAATTTTGGTTCTTCGAGCCTGATTCCACTACAAAAAGCAGAGGACCAACGGACGAAAACAATTTCTAGTTTCATCGGCCATCAACAATAAATAGGCAGTTGTTTGGTGACGCTAGAAAACGAAAAAATCTTAAAAGTGCCCAACTTCCTAGTTTTACATCCTATTATTTGCATGCTAAAAACTTGAGATGAACGTATTAGAGCTAATAGTAAATTAAAAAACGCGTAATAATATCAAATTAAATTAATTAATTAATTAATTCTTTAAATAGTGTTTTCCGCAAAGACAAATAATTTCAAACATTTAATAACTGAATAATCTAAAGCTTATCAAAGTTATTATTTTATTTGAGTAAATTTAAATGGTAACAATGAATAAACAAAACATCAGGGATTTTATTTTTGTGCTTACTTTTGTTCTACAAGTTTTACTTTTAAAGATTTCAGTACCTAAAAACGCCAGAAATTTCACTATTTCTCGGCCAGGAATATGGACACCTTAAGACGTTTCAAAAATTCGTTTGATAAAGTAAAAGCAGCTACTCCTTCGGTTGTTAGTCAGATTGACCTTCGTTTACTTAAAAGTAGAGTCATTATTAGACGATTTCAACAAAATACAAAGAAAAATCAAGGAAAGCGATTCATTATCAGCTCTCGATGAAGATGAAAAAGAACTACTTATGTGGTTATAAACATTCATATTTTTGAAGCCAATCGATTCATTTCTAAAAAACAATACAATTCGCGACCACCGTGGTATGGTTCATAGTCACACTTCCGCTAAGACATTCTCTAAACAATAATTTAGGAGATGATTTTACAAATAGCAACTCAGCGATTTTTATTATTAAAAAAACGACTTGAGGCTGATAACGGAATAAAAAAAATCATTTCTGATCTGAATCATATCGAATTTCAATCTCGCAACAGATGGAGTAAGGTGGCATTTCTTTCCACTCAGAGCACCCAACTTTGGCAGACACTGGAAAACTGGTGTCAAATACCATTTAAAGAATTTTTGTTTCATACAATATTAACATGCGAGGAATTTTGTCCCGTGTTAGCTCAAGTTTAAGCATGCTTAAATTCCTGTCCACTATGTCCCATAAGTTCAGTTCCTCAAGATCTAGAACCTTTAACACCTGGGCACTAATAGCAACCAAACTTACTTCTATACCAGAAAACACCACACTCAAGCAAAACAGGCTTTTCAAATTCCAATTCATTCAAAGTCTCGAGTTCCAGCTACTTTTCTAGCCAATAAATGTTTTCATGTATTTAATACAAATAACTTTTAGAAATTATTTTAATAAACAAATCAGCAGACCATTTCCGCTTTTAGAGGAAAATAGGTACCTACACTAGTCACATAAATCAAAGGATAAAAAGGATAATAAATTTTTAAGTTGTAACTTGACGAAAAATGGTCGTACAACAATAAAAAAAGCAAATTGAACCTTGAAGTTTTAGACTAGGCGGTGTCTGTTTGGGTGAATCGTATATCCGCGGAGATTTTTGGATTTTTGGCTTTCAAATATCACTAGAAATGAGAATTTTTCTATGCGCATAAAAAAATACGCGGGTTTAACTTTTAGCGACACAATATGTTAAAACAATTCGAAAAATGTCATATTTTTCTTCTTATTTATGTAAAATGCTTGTAATTCATTTTTTTACAAAACATGACTAGTTACAAATCGAATGAATCATGATTATTACTCTAAAAATCGAAAAAATGGCAAAAATGGGGTTAAAAAACAATACTTTTTAGGGATTTTTTTTTGGGGTATTTAAATTGGGTATAGGATCTTTATACTTGGCTCAAGAAAACTTCATGTTATGTAGAATCATCACACCAAATTTCATCAAAATCGGTTCTATAGATTTTACATAATAATTTTGCAATTCAGATTTTGAAAAATAAATTGCAAATTTTCAATATTTTGCACAGCAAAAACCAAGGCCTATAGATACTTGAAAATTTAATCACATATAGAAGGGCTCTCAAGCTTTCAAATTTTTTTTGAAAAATTTGTATCCGTCAATTAGGAGAGTTCTGGCGTTTGTTTAAACATTGGTCGAATTTTTGTACTTATAAACAATTAGAATAACTTTGTGAATATTCAATCAAATTAAATTTTTTAAAGCAGGATTTAAAAGTTCTTGGAAGGACGCTTCTTTAAAAAAAACATATCGATTGGTCAATTAGTTACGTAGTTATAGCCGATCAAAGTTAATCGTCATTTACACTAAATGTACTGGGACATCCGGGCTAATTTTTCGAAAAATACCTTTGGTATTCCGAGTACTTACCAGGTCTAAGATTACAATACTTTTCTTCATTGGCAACCTACTTTAAAACGTGTTTAAAGTTATTTATGCAAGCGAGAAATTCAAGAAAATCGTATGGGTGGCCTGTTCGAAATTGAATTGGCGAGTTCAAAACCGCGATGCGCTTAAAAATGTTTAATATCTCACCTAAAGGTCCGATTTTGATGATTTTTTTTTAAATTTTAGCGTATTTTCAAATGCCTATCGTTAATAATAATAATTGTTGGTCTTTCAACAGTCCGATAATTATTTATCTTTAAACTTCCTTTACTTATTAACTTTATTTTTCTATTGTCTCAAAGGTAAGTGGTATACTGTTTATCAAAGATCAAAAACAAATTTATTTAAATATTCTGAAATTGTTAAAATAACAGTTTACATAACATGAAGTTTTCTTGAGCCAAGTTTAAAGGTCCTATACCCAATTTAAATACCCCAAAAAAATTCCCCCAAAAGTATTGTTTTTTAACCCGATTTTTGCGATTTTTTCGATTTTTACCATAATAATCATGATTCATTCGATTTGTAACTAGTCTTGTTTTGTAAAAAATTTTATTACAATTTTTCCTCTTCCTTTTCGCCTAAAATTAACTTTTGAAAAGATACATAATTAAATAGGAAGAAAAATATGACATTTTCGAATTTTTTTTACATATTGTGCGGCCAAAAGTTAAACCCACGTTTTTTTTATGCGCATAGGAAAATTTTCATTTCTAGTAATATTTGAAAGCCAAAAAGCCAAATATCTCCGTGGATATACGATTCACCCAAATATGGACTCTTTGAAACAGATACCGTCTGGACTATTTGTAGTTTCGGGATCTGAAGTTTTAAGAAATCATAAGAAATCTAGGGAAAGAATATTTCCAAAATTTTTCCTTATCTAGGTACCTTTCAAAAGGTCCATTCAATAATTTTTTTTGCAATCCAACTTGTTAGTTTTTTTAGTTTGATTAATTTGATCTATTCAATAGCTTGTACGATGATTTGTCGGCGAGTTTTGGACCTTTTTACCAATTATCGTACAGAAAATCTAAGCAGGGTTTTGAAAACTTCAATTTGTCCTCTATAAGATGTTCTTATCATTTTTTAATAAAAAAAATTTCGATGCAAGAAAGATTCAAAGAAGGTAAAAAATTGCATATAAGGATTTTTGCTAAACTTGAGAAAACTTTACAAATAATGAATAGACCTCGGAATAGACCAAGGATGTTTTCGTTTTTTAACCTCAAAAGTACCCTCAAGAATTCAAACCGCTGCTATATTTCTTGTAGCTATTTAACTTTTCCATACAGTTTCAATTTTGTGTACTATCAACAGATTACCTTAAAATTGAGCGTGATAAGCACAGTGCCATATTTTACACTAAACGAAATTGCTTTACAGAAGGATTTTTTATTCTTAAGTGTTGATTGGCGGGACTGTTTTTGCAAATAGAATATTTTTCTTAGTACCTATCTACTGACTTAGCACAATACGAAGAAAAATGTTAGTAACCAGTGGCTGTACGGAAATGCCCAGATGGCTTTGTTTGGTTGTTTGTTTATTTCTATTCCTAATAAAATGGGAATGAATCTCGTTTCGTGATAGGAACAGTTGTATACTAGGTATATTGTTTTTTGCTTGTAGCAAACATACGTTCTTAATAAGTTTTAACAGTTTAGATTACAATTTTTTGTAGCTTCAACAGTTTTGGTTATTGAAAATCCCCTTACCATAAAAAACCTCTCCGAGTAAAAACGTGTTATTCATTAACATGCACACTACAGTATTAAAGCAAGTTCTCTATTTCTGCTTAAATAACAAGTAAACGTGTAGTGCATTTCGTCCCACTGTGCAGTGCGGTTTCCCCACAGCCAAACTACAACGGGAGCGTTTTCTCGCTCTTAATTTAACTTCATGTAGTCTTTAGAGAGTTGTTTCAGTTTCGAATACAACTCTAACAACCCCTTCAGTCCTTAACAAGTGGTATAAATTTACTCTGGTATGTAGCAATGTAAAGTCGTAATTAGTTATGATTGTTCCTTAACAGAACGTGTTTTTTGGTCGGACAATATTCCTAGACTTTTTTTTAAGTCTAACAGAATATCTCGTATCGGTACTTTTCGTTATTTATGTTTAAACGATGAATGTGCGTTTATAAGATAGAAGGACGTTTGCATATCGACTGGACAATTTTCCACCTCTTCTACGTACATATAACTCGCAGCCCGTTCACCGGAGAGCTTTCCTATGTCCGATGAATTGGAGGAAATGACATCCCGTTATCCCCCTTTCTATTTTCATAAGGCTTATGTCAATACTCTGACCGCTTCAATTAGGTGAGGGCCCTTTCGGTTGCCGCCAGGAAATTCGTATATCTGGATCTCCATAGCGGCCTACTGTTTAAAATGTTTTATCTCCAGGGAGACATTTCCTCTCCCGAGGGCCGCACCAGCCATTCCTACCCTAAATATCATAAACTCCGGATCCACTCCGCGCGACTCGGGGCCGTATGTACATAAAAAGGGATAATCTGATGTTGCCGTCAATTACCATAAACGTGCGTTTTGCATGTCGGATTATAAAATTATCAATTGATCCCTATCAATCCCTTGATCAACCGTCATTTGACATCTAAACTTTTTCCTTAATAAACTACTGTCAGCGTGACATTACCGGCGACACCTATCGGCGGAAAACTCTATTATACTATCCAAATACTGGAATTAAACGTTTCCTCATTGTGGGGGGACGCCGAAAGCAAAATTAGGTATTAAATACTCTGGGGGTGTAACGAAAACACAATCTCGTAAATGAAAACCGCCCCGCCGTCAACGCAGTCGGTCGTACGCTTGATACGCAGTCGGTGTACGGTCCTACAACAGCTAGAGCCGACCTTTAAGCGGGAGGGAACACTTTCATGAATATAAAGTGGGTTTTTTGCCTCATGTCTTGTCGACAGGCTAGTTTAAGAGGTTCATTCCGGCCACTCAGTTATCTTTTAAGCGACGTTCGTATCTTTGACGTTATTATACTTATTTGTCATCACCCTCCTCCGCCCAAATTGTCACCTCTGCGAAGCTCCCGAAAAAAAAAATGGATATCGCAAGACGTAGTACGGAATTGTAATTACGCGAGCTGACTTCGTAGTATACGGTTTCCGAAAGAATGTGGATGTAATTGAAGTACCTCAGATATCCAAACCAACACGCTTCCGAACGTTCAAAGCGCCATCTATCGCGGATTATAAATAGCGAAAAGAAACAGCACCTTGCGCTTCTATTATTTGGATAACTACTATATATGTGTGTGTGAGACTTTCTAAAAGCTGTCAACTAGTCGAGCTTACCCGGAACGAACCTGGTGGTCGATTTCGGGCCAGCTCAGCCTCCTGCAGCAGAACGTCGGCGGTCTCTCCGGGGTGGCCTTGGGTGACCTCTGCCTGAAGGAGCCCGGTCGGCGGACGGGTGGTGCGGGCACGAGACACTCGAGGGTGCTCCGTCTGCGTTGCACTAGGGCGCTAGCCCCAGGAGTCGGCACCACCTTGGGGAAGCCCGGGGTGTTGCTGTCGCCGGAGTTGCTGCGGGAGCCAGTGGGGGCGGCGGCGGCGGCCGCCGCCTCCGCCGTATCTGTCCGACTGAGAGAGAATCTAGAAGGAAGAAAGAATTGATTAGAACACATTAAATTATTTTTTGGGAGCTGTAATAATATTTTAAGTCTCTTAAGACATTTATGATGAGATCTCGGATATATTTATTAAATTTTTAACTTTTTCATACGAGTCCAAATACAACATTTGCATCAGGCAACATCAAAAATACCGATTTTAAAAATCGCGTTACAGATTTTTAATAGGTTCGAGTACGTTCTGCGAGAAAAATCCGTGCCACGCATAATCCGGGAAGTTTTCGCGAACCAAATACCGGAAACTTGGTGCAGCCTGTATTCCTCTTGGCTGAAGTTCTGCAATTTGCCCGGAGCATATTCCGTGCCGCTGGTATTATTTTGTGGCCCTGTTGTTAATGTGAGCTGAGTTTTAATGCACAATCTTGGTAACTGTAACTGTACCGAATCGATGCCTTGAAATAGTAAATTTGAGCGTAAATTCCATTAGACTGACGTCTAATCATCTAAATTTGATTGTGAAATAAAGGCAAAGTTTATTAAATCAAGCAAATACGAATTATCTTTGTAATTTAATTCGATTTATTATCTTAGATATTCATTTCTAATTCTTATACGAAGAAAAATTTTTCTTATATTATAGAAACACTTCAGAAATTGAAACTTATTTATGACAGTTCTCAGAAAATGTAATTTTTCATTTCCAGTTGAAAAGTATGTTTATTAAGTATTTATAAAGTAACATGTTTCTTTCGTTTCTTTTAAGAGCTGTTGCAATTGTTCCGAATGAGTATTATCGAATAACAGCCATATCGCATTGCAATTCAAGTTAAAAAATACCCCAGTCTTGAAAACACCTTGTGTATATTTGCAACAGTTAAAAGCTCAGAAATCCACCTCACAAAAATTTAAATGAAAGAAGAGTCATCCGGTTATTAGAATTTTGTGTCTTTAAACTTGAGAAAAAAAAATATATAGTACATATACCTACAAAGTTACGTCATTCTATAATTTTGTACAACAATAATAAAATAGCTGTCATTCTTTTAATTTTTAAAATAAATTTCTGTAACTTTCACAGATTACTCCTCAAATGACAATTGAAACAGTGAGCGATATGGAAAAAATGTTAAAAAATTTAATTTGAAAAATATTCAGCCCAACATATTCAATAATTTTAAAAAATCACAAATTTTACATTTTAGGCCATACTTAATAAATCAAAAACTATAATTGTAAACGTGATATTGAAACTTTATGAGAGCACTTTTTAAAGCTTAAAATCTCTAGTTTAAGATGGCGCATTATATTTTTCTTAAAAAATTGAAATAATAGTTGAAAAAACAGAAAATAACAAAAAATAAAAATATTTCATGAAAAATCCGTGAATATTATTGTTAAATAAAGTTTAATAATGTACAAAATTTTATTTTCTTTTAATAAACCATCAAAGAATTAAGCTAAAACCTTAAAAAAAGTAAATCGAGCGAAAAATAGTTTTTTTATTTATAGTAATAAGTGGAAAATTGTTATAACAGCAAAAAAAATAACGTTTTTTGATTAATTGATTTAATATTCATTTTTAAAACGTATATTCTGCATCTGAAATTGTGAATATAAGTTCTCTTATTGATGTAGACACAGATATGAGTTTGGATGACGAAGCTAAGCAGTGAGCACACCAAATATTTTTTTGTTACTCAGAGTTTTATTTATTTTAAAAGCGTTTTTCGTTTATAAGAATTAAATAATAATTATTACAAATGATAGAAAAATATGATTTTTATGTTTTCGAGTAAGTTGCAGTTGTCAGTGTGTTAAACAGTGTATTATTCATATATTTTGCCCATTTTGAGGTTATACCTACTCTCGTACACTTGTAATTCTTTAATGTAGTATTATTACTTAATATTACAAATAATCTTCAGTTTGCATTTAAGGTATTTATATTCGTTTTCTTTTATGCTGAACCTGTAAGTGTAAGAGTTTAATATTTATATATGAATATTGATCTATTTTTAAAATAATGAATGAATAAATAAATAATAGGGGACGTTGATTTTTGTATTTAAAATCCAAGTGGTTTTTTTTCAATTTTATTAGCTCAAAGCCTTAACTGTCCAGTTATTTTTGAAGAAGAGCAAGAACTCGATGAGATTTAAAAATTAATTATTTTGTAATAAATTTGTTTTTAAAAAATAAAACACATTTTCAATAAAACCTCTTTAGCCATTTATAATTTTCATTTTTCGAACCCCTACATTACAAATATAAGCGAGTTTGATTTAAAATTGAAAATTGTTAAATAAATTGTTTAAAATAGTCGGCCATATTGGATCAGCCATTTTGAATTTTCATTTTCTGACTTCTTATTCTTGTTCAGCGACATCGAAAACCCCTATATTGTCAATTTGAAAGAATTCCATTTAAAATTCATTGAATTATTTTAAATGTCCTTAAAAAAACTATTTATTATTGTTTAAACAATTAAAAAACTATTAGCGTACAAAATTAAGTTTATAACTTTTTCCTAATACTCATCCCCAAGTAATGTCAAAAGGTTTTAGGAAAATCCATGCTTCCCATAATTATTTCGAAATAATGCGTAATTTTAAGCTATCTTGACTCCACTACAAAAGCACATGAAAATGTTTGCTGTTAGAGCAAAAGATACGTACATAAAAGGAGACTCTTATCTAACACCGCTGTATTTTGCTTTATTACGTTTGGAAAACGGGACATGTGCTAAGTCTTTTAAGTTAGAAGGGGATCTTTTATGTCTTTAACGTGTTTGTAAGTACATGGGATCTACACTCGCACGATTTTTACATTTCGAGGGCGTGTTATACGTCAGAACATAGAATAAATATAAAGGAAAGAACGACTTCAAGCATTTTGGCTGAATATAATTTATACATTTCAGGCTTCTATTAAACGTTTCAGTATCACAACACATGTAAAACATTCTGTTCTATAACATTAAATGCAACTGATATAGAACGGGCGACATATCGATTGTGCGGCATCGACGTTCTCTGGCGATGATTAAAACATTTTCGCTTATTTCCACAGCGCGCGCTTGACACGTTCCAGATAAGGGCGAGTCCTCACGCCATTTTTATGTCATTTGTCTCCCTTCCCGTGTCGTACGCGACACGCCGAACTGATACAGATAACGGGGAATAGCTGGAAGGCAAATTAAATGCGAGCGAATCACTTACTTGGCAATGGGTCGTTTGAAGAAAAGGGTATTGATGGAATCACGATTGGTTATGTAAGAGGTGAAGAGCAGTCGTTTATTAAAGATGGATACTTTAAATTTCAGGGACTATTGTCGTTTTGTGTCATGCAAAGCAGGTAATTAGGGTATTTTATTATTGATGGTTTGGTTGTTGCTCAACAATACACTAATTTCGCGTTATTATTGTTTTATGAACCCTGACAATAATTGAGGAAATATTTAACGGATTTGGACAATGAATGCACTATCTTTTCTTGAAATTTGTCCTGTCCTCGAGTGTTTATCGCCCTAATCAAGATTATCTTCTTCAAATATACTAAACACGAGGAACAACAACACTATCTCTGTCGTCTATTCAAAAGTCTTCACGACTAAGCATTTTAGTTACAGCCTGTACATTGCCAACTGTACATAGCAAATGAAAATTGACTTTTGTCATAAAACTGGCAAAGGCAAAGGTTTAATTTTAGGTTTCTTATCTCGACTTTCGGCTAATACGTCTAAAATTGAATTCTGAGACGAAACAATGACTTCGTTAATTGAGTTGCAAATTTGGATGTGGACCGTTATCGAATTAGATCCACTGCCAAGTCGAATCGATTCGTGACGAATCCGATATGACGTTTCCTTTTCGGGCTCTTCTAGACCGTTTTGCGTAAATAGGATTAAAATTCTGATGGGTATTAAATCAGTGGGTCGTTTGCTGCCGTGACAGGTCGATGGAATCGAAATTTCGCATCAAAGGTGTCATCTATCACGGCGAAGAAGATTTAATGAGTGTGTTTTTAACTAATGAACCGAGACGTAGTACCTACTTCCGTACGTTGGGGTGGTAGAAATTATACACAGCTGCTTTTCTGTGGGCGAGACAGCATAATTAGCGAGATTATGTGGCATTTTTACCCAAAGTAATTAAGATGTAAAACAGGATGATTTTAATTTGAATTTCAGCTATTTATTCCCCGGCTGTTGTACCCGGGAGTTATAAATCTCAGCGAGATAAAGCCGGAGCTTCCTTTTCCAGTAAACATCTTATTACGAGCAGGGTATTGTCGTGACTTGTTATTCTTAAACTTCGCTTGTAGTCCAGTCGAATTAGATCATGTGAAAACTGGTTGTTTGATTACTGTAATATAACAACCCTAGGTTCGACAAAAAAATAAGTAAACGTAGTTGTGGCCAAAAACATGTGATCGTCATAATGACTACCTACGTTGTGTGTATCTATTTTTTTAATTGACCGGAAGGCGCTGGCTACTAACTTTGTAGAGGGGATGTATGGTTTAATTATATAAAAACAAAAACAGAGTAAATACACCTAACCTTTATTTACATACAATTCAAATTAAACATGTGACAAATAGAAAGAACAATAAAAACATTAACAACCATTAAACATATAAGGAGAGTGCCAGGCTCACCTAGAGCTCCTGTGGGGAAAGAGCATGGCAGAGAAACCCACGATCGTTGCTCTTACCACCCAAATATA